TTCTCGTAGTAACAGCTCCTGAAGCTCGCGCTTCTTACTCTAAACACCATTTGAATTCCGGAATAATGGTCCGAATGTGGGGGCGCGTTTTTGGCTTATAAACCGTTACAGCCCCTCACAGTTTCAAGCCTGCTGCATAAATTCGTCGTTTAAATTGCTGACATCTACCGTATTGTGGGTTGCGGTTATTTAGCTTCGCAGTAGAAGAGTGGCCAAGGGCTTTAGAATATAAAGGGTTACTGGGCAAATCTTGATAAGGTTTTGTCCTCAAACGAGAGGCTCAAGAGATCCCCAGGATAACAGTAATCGTTTGGAGTTGGAGTCAAAGAAGTAAACTTCGCGGGTTGGCTGACTGCCTTACGCGGATAATATTTGCAGTCTTGATAATTAGCGGTATGTGCCTCTCCACATAGGCACATCTGCAGGCGAGTCTGGTGATTTGGTACACCCTGGGGTTAAATGACCCTCCCCGCATGTAACGCATCGAGGGGCCGCGGCGCATAAGCTTGCAGCGTGGCCAAAGGTTTGACAACAGTGGCACTGGCCAACGCGACTTCTTTTTCGAAGTTCTTCTATTTTGATCTGAGGACGGGGAATAATCTTCATCTCTAAAAGCTTCTGTTCGTTCCGTTTTGGGTATATGCCCCAGCACTTGGGGTAACGGACGCTTCTTCAGCTCATTGACAGAATCTTCTGTGTGCATCCGTGCCACTCGGAGGAGTGTGAAGCCTTGCGCGCGCAGGTCCGCCTCGACAGTAGAGATCGAATTCGCAATAAATTCCACGAATAACAAATTGGTGTGGCTTGCCTGGGGTTACTGATAAGTAAACTGTTGTAATTCTTGCTTGCGCATTATCGCTGTGACCGCACGGTATTCTTGAGCTGTGTTCGGAAATATTTTAATTCCAAGACGCGTATCTCATGACCTCGGGATTTTGGCACCGTTGGATTGCAAAAGTTGTGCAAGGAAGGGTCACTTATGTTTCTCGCAAAGGGTAATAGGAGAGATTTTCTCTTTACGGGTTCGCAGGGGAATTCTGCAGTAGATGGTCGTTCATTAAATAGAAGGACAGTGTCAGAAGCACTGCCCATCTCCATGCCTACGGCGTATTGTAAAGTTTTTGTTGGCCTCTCTGAGTCTAATTATTTTCGGGTTGCCGTTACCCTCAATGGGGGGAAACTTACTACTATCATTATTATAATGACATTTCTATTTTTTATTACTAGATATATTTAATTGCTATTAGTGTTGTTGCTAACTATTATATTATTATTAATGACGCCTTTGAGGGAACTATTGCTACTGCTACTATGATCTTTAATATTAGCTATTTCCCGGTGGCTAGACGGGCCTTTTGTAAACCTTTAGAGTCTCGCCAACTTCCAGTACCACTTCGCTGGTTGATGTAGAATTTGCACATTATTATTGTTAGTTGTATTATCAAAAGACCCCCTTCGCCTCTTAAACTTATTTTTGTCCTGAGTGTTTTTAGTAACTTTAAGAAGTTTTTCCTTTGTAAAATCTAACTCTTTTCTAAGTTCTTCATAAATAGCCAACAAGTTAGCAATAAATACTTGAAGTCTTCTTTAGAGGACAGACTCATAATTAATAAAAAGATAAATTTATATTTTTTAAAAAAAAGAGGTTAAAAGGAAGGAAAATTAATAATAATAAATATATAATATATATAAGAACTGTAATATAAGGTCAGTAGATGTAATTTAGATACTAAGTTTTCTAAAATGTATAAGTATATTTTGAATAAATCGCTAATTAGAGGTTAAGAGGAAGAAAAAATAATTATAATAATAATAAATAATAAATATATAATATATATAAGGTCTTTAATATAAGGTCAGTAGATTAAATTTTCATATATTTTAAATAAATCGCTAAAGAAGTAAGTTAAATATCGCATTTCTAAGCAGGAAGTTAGGTGAGCGGGCCAAAATTACAGTCCGGCGGTTAGAGCTTTGATTCGATTTGCTTTCTTCAGTGGCCGAAAATAATAATATTTATAGGGGCGAGCCTCGTGTAAACCTGTTTAAAACTGCTTGTGATATTAAACTTTTGTATAAATAACACCAGGAGAAAAATGGAGTAATAAGAAACTTTATTTTTGTTTTGTTCTAAAGATGAAACTTAATTTTTAAGCAAAAATGAAAAATAATTTTCAAAACACTGCTATCTTAGGTTTTGTTTTTTGACAGTGTTGCTTAAATAATTTAATTTTTTTATTTGCTTTATAGCAGTGCTTTTTGGATTATGTTTTCTTTTTTTACAAAAAAGCTTTAGAAAACCCCGAAGAAAATCTGGATTACATCGCCTCTCTTATAAAAAAAGTTAAGATGGTGTTTTACACTTTTATCAAAGTTTTAGGGTGATAAATATTTATAAACTCATAAAAATTATAATATTTATAGGCGTTATCCTTCTCCCAAGCGGCTTAATAAATGAAGGAAACAATTGTTACGTTAATTGCATCTTGCAGGCTCTTTCATCTTCAACCTATTTTGTTAAGTATCTTAAAGAAGTTGTAAAAACATGCCTTTCTAAGGCCAATGTCAACTTTACTTTTAAGAAAAAATTAATTTTAACGCGCGTTACTTTAGAATTACTCACAAAACTTCAACCTTCAAATAATAATAATTACAAGAATATATGTGGATCTTCCGTTATTTTGTTTCATCTTTTATCAAACCTTCCTGACCGCCAGCAACAAGACGCTCAGGAACTTTTGCAATTGTTAATAAGCGCTCTTGAGACTGAAAAGTAAGGGGAGAAAAATATTATTTTTTTAAAAAAAAAGAAAATTTAAAGGGAGTTACTTTATATATCTAATATAAGGTTTGGTTTTACTTTAATTAGTAATTATTCATTGTTAATAAAAACTAAATTTTCTTGGGTTATTATTAATATAGTGAAAAATCATATACAATACTTTTTACTTAACAGTATTCATATTACTTTATACTTTTATAGATACTATCTTTAAGAATGTTTAATAAAATTCTGTTATAATCTTATCTAAGAATTTTATTAAAAGTATAAAGTTAACCAATTTATGCAAGTTTTTTTTAAGGAGTTACTTATAATTTTATTCCTTTTGTATAAATAGAATTTTTTACTGAAACTTACTATTGTTATTAGTTAGAAAAGTTTGTCTTTAGAAATAGATATTATCTTTAAACTATAAGTTAGTTACAGATTTTTGCAATAATAAATCATTGTTCAAAGATCAAAGCTAAAGTTAACGAATTTTTTTAATAAAACATGTTAATTTAAATTTTAACTATATTTTTTTTTAATTTTTTTTATATAAAGGGAATTATTCGTAGAGAATAATAAACTAAAATTTCGAACTAAAAATCCATTACATTCATTTATATACTCTCAACTCTGTTGCACTGTATGCCTCCGCCCTCAACCCGCTCGTCTTTCACTGGTATACAAACTTCCGTATAATAATTTATTTTTAACAAATTTAATATCTAATATAGTGCGATACAAAAAGTTATTTTCATTAAACCTACTTAAAATTTTTTTAAATCATTTAATGTAAAAAATTTTACTATAACGGTTTTAAGCAAACCCGTTAAATGATAAAACCAGCGTAATTTTAATGTTTGTTATAAATCACTAAAATATGTTTAAAAAGGACTTAAAGTGAAGTAGCCCTTAAAATCACATTACGTCGCGGTATTTTTCATTGTTTATTTACAACACTGGATTCCTTCAGGTGTTATTTACAATTATTTGCTATTTAAGAGAAAGTGCGGAGATGTTACGTGACTTTCTCGACGTGTTTTATGTTATTAAGGGGGAAAGGAAGCGCACTGCCACGAGTAGTAGTGCACCAAAGAATGAAGCAGAAACAAAATAATAGTAACCATAATAATACATAATATTAGCACAGTTAAATTTTTTGGTCAATTATATAATTACTATTTTAGCTATATTTTGTTGGCAGGAGATATAGTGGTTGAATGTTTTTTTTATACAACTTTTCTTAACAAAGCTTTTGTACTATAACAAAATAAAATTTTAAACTATTCAACATTTTTTAAAGCAATTTTTTTTTATATCTTATACATAAACATATTTTATTTTTTGCTATAATACTATTTTGTCTTTGTATGATCTTCCGAATCGTCAGTAATACTCTTAACCGTTAAAATTACAATGATTACACTTATATGGTATTTTTACTCTCCTTACTTTTTTATAATATAAATACCTTAACGTTGTACAGAACAAATTAAATTCTATCTGCATATATTAATCCCAATCGCTTTGAGAATATAGTACAGTTTTTGACAATATATAATCTTTTACACAATTACCTACATAATTTTTAATGCAATATTATTTCGTTTTCATTATAAATTTATGTTTATTTATTAACAACAATATTACTGTTAATAAATATCTAAATAGCGTCAGCGTGATACTAAAATACTTAAATTTTTATGGGTTCATACTTTTTATCAATAAAATAATTAACCAATAAAATTAAACCAAACGAAAAAATAATTGGCAGATAAAAATTACTATAAAATAATTGCTATTAAAGAATATCCCTCTTTTTTTGTTTATTAATTTATTTACTTTATTTATAGTTTATTTAAAGTTGTTTATATATTTATACAGTATTCTTGCTTGAGCCTATCTATTAGCTCTCCCTTTCAATCTTCGTGTTCACTGGAAAACTGTTTGTCTGACTATTTTAATCCCGAACTTGTTCATGATGTTTTCTGCGAGAACTGTTCAGTAAATATATTTAACGTTTTTTTAAAAAAAATATTTATGTTATCTTATTATTTTATTTATTAAAACAAGGAAAAATTAAATTGTTTCAATTATTTTGCTTAATTTTTTTTTTTTATATTTCTTTTTATAGAAAAATTTTATTTATATTTGTTTATTAAAAAAATTGGCAGAAAAGAAAAATTTTTTTATTATCATATCTATTTTACATTTTTCATTATTAACTGAAAAAGTTTAGCAGAAAAGGAAGAACTTTACACGTCAAGCACAACAGCCTGTCAGTGCTTCCAAAAGTGATACCCTAAAGCATTTTCATATAACATTCTTTTTTAATATTAAATTTATAAATATATATAATATATTTATATATAATTTTAGTTAATTTCTTAATAAATAAATATTCATATAAATATGTGTAATAATTATTTATTATTATTATTATAGATTCTATGTTTACATATTGGAAGAACTATTTGGTCTAAACATTACAACAAAGTTTATAAATCTCACTGTGTAATAAAATTTGACGAGTTTCTTGATATGAAAAACTACACTGGAATATTCGGTTCTTTATTATTATTATTATTATTATTATTATTATTATTATTATTATTATTATTATTATTATTATTATTATTATTATTATTATTATTATTATTACTATTATTATTATTATTACTATTATTATTATTACTATTATTATTATTACTATTATTATTATTATTATTATTACAGTTATCATTTTTTCTTGTATTATTAGTTTACTAAATATATTTATGTACGCACAATCTAATATACTCTATAATATAAATAAACTATTATAATTGTTTTTATTATAATGTTAATATTTATAAAATTTAAATTTACCTTGTATTTTTATAATATACACTCAATGCATTTAAATACAAAATAAATTATTATTACCGTGAAACATTCATTTTATTAATTATGCATTAATATAGTTTTATAATTTTTATTTTAAATTTCTATTATTTATAATAACTACATTATTTATTATTAATAATTTAACTATTTATATCATAATTATATTAATCTTTAATTTATTTTAAATTTTTGTATAATTATTACACTAATACTATAAAAGTTGCTTTCTCTAAATTTTTTTATTTATTTAAATAAATTTTTACACCATTTACTTATTTATATATATATTCCAAATTATTATTTTCGTAAATTTTTTTTTAATATTTTAATAATTCAATCTTTTTCATACTATTGACTATATTTTATTATAACATTTTGTTATTTATAATACTTATAACGTCTATACATTCTTGCTTTTATTATTTATTATTATATTTTATTAACCTCTAAATATTTACTACAAAAAAAAATTTATATATTATTATTATAGAATCTAATAATAATAAAGTAGCTTTTTTACTAATTATTATAAAGTTATATGTATTCCATAACTTTTTTATATTAGAATTCACTATTATAAAACTTTATTTTCTTAAATATATATTTATTTATAGATCGGCAAAAGCTTTATAACAATAATAATAATAAACTTTTTCTGTACGAATTGAAATCACTTATTGTTCACCACGGCGATCTTACTGGCCACTTTACAACGTATTTTTTTTTAAAAAATTGATAATCATTTTTTATAATATTTATAAAATAATATAAATATCAAGCTTTAATAAAGTTATAGTGCAGTTTATAATTTTCTTAAAATTATTATTAAACATTAAGTAAAACAATATAGTTTATTAATTTCCATCAAAACTTCTTAAGTGCGAGTCCGTAATAATATTTAATTATAAAAAATAGAAAGTTAATCAAAATATTAATTAAAAAACTTTAATAGAATATTATCTAAATTTTAATATATTACAAAAATAATTCATTCTCGTGTACGAAATATATTATATATTAATAAATATTTTTAAGTTCAAGCTTTAAGAAGAGTTAGAAAGTTTTATAATTTTTGGTAAAAATAAAAATTATTTCTTATATAAAATGATTTAAAGAAAACATCGAAAATTATTAATATTTTTGATAATAAAAATTTTACTAATAACTTTTACAATTAGTTATTATAAAGTTTTTTTCGTTCTTTAAAACTATAAGTAATCTATAATAATAAAATAATGCAATACTCGAACTTCTATAGAAGTTATAAATTGCTCTAGAATTTTCCTTTTTTCAATAATTTTATATTTATAGAAATTTTTATTTTACAAAAAATATAAATTAAGAAAAAAACTTTTATAGTTATTCTAAAAAAATCATTAAAAAAAAATACTATTGATTCTTATTATGTTTTATAAACTAGCATTATGTTAAGTTAAAATCATTAATCTATAATAATAATGAAATTTTTAAAAACAAAATAACTTTGAAAATTTTTTTATCAATTTAATTATAAACTATAAAAAATATTAAAACTTTTAATTTTAAATTAAAAAAAATTATAATTTTAAAAAAAATAAACTATTTATTATTATTAATATATTAAAGTTTTATTTTCAATAACAGAAAAATTAAAAATGTTTTAATAAATTTTTTAATTTAAATTCAGTTATAGAAAACTACAACCGAAATTCTGGTGCTGCGCGGACGATTCGAAAGTTTTTAAAGTTTCAAGAGAAGAAGTGTTGTCTGCAAATCCGTATTTGCTGTTTTATGAGAAATTAAATTAATAGAAAATTTACATAAAATTTTTTATATACTATATAAAAAAAATTTAAAATGAAGTGTATTCAAAATTAAAAAAAATTAATAGGAAAATTGATATATAAAAATATTAATCCTAAAAAACTTTTTTAAAATTTATAAAAATTTAGTTTTAATTTTTATTTAAGTATTTTTTTATAAATTTTGTTTATTGTTCTTTACAAATTTTTTTTTAGCTCCAAAAATTTTGTTTACAAACTCAAATAAGCTAATAATTCAATAAATTAATAAAAAAAATCAAATCTTAATTATTATATATTTTTTAAAAAAGCTTCAACAATTTTGTAAGCAAACTCAAACAAAAATAATAAAACAATATTTTAATAATAAAAATTCGAACTAAAAAACTATACAATAATTTAATAAAAAGGTTAAGCTTAAGAAAAAATTATAATAGTATCAAACAAAATAATAAAACAGTAATTTAATAGAAAAATTAAATCTTAATTATTATTTGTTTAAAAAAAAGCTTTAATATTTTAAACAAACAATATTTTAATCATAAAAATCAGATCTAAATAATTTTGTAGAGATTTATTACTACCAAAACCAAAAAATTAATAATAACTTATTAGATAAGTTAAAATTAAATCAAACTTTCGAAACTTTGGAAGCAAACTCAAAGAAAAATAATCGAATAATAATTTAATAAGAATCAGAACTAAATTATTATCTAAAAGTTTATTAAAAGATTTAAGCTTAAGAAAAAATTATACTAAAATCGAACAAAAATATTAAAACAATAAAAATAAATTATAATTTATATATATTTTTAAAAAACCTATATGAAATTTGGTAAGTAAATTTATTAATAATAAAACAAGAAAATTAAAAAAAAAAATCTAAATTATTATATGATAATTTATTTAAAAAATTTAAAGACTTTGTGAGCAAACTCAAACAATAGTATCTAAACAATAAATTAATAAAAAAATTGGAATTTAAAATTATATAAAAATTTATTAAAGCTTAGCCTTAAAAAAAAATATTATAAAGTCAAACAAAAATAATAAAACAACGATATATTAAAAAAATATATATTAAAATAATTATATATTTTAAAAAGGTTTCTTAAAAATTCGTAAGCAAACTCGAACAAATATAATAAAAAAATAAAGTAATAAAAAGTTGTAGATCTAAATTATTATATCAAATTACTAAAAAGCTTTAAATAATGTTATACCATAGTCAAACAAAAATAATAAAACTATAATAATAAAAGATAACTTACTTTTTGTCTATAAAGTTATTAGAACATTTTATATTATAACTTGATTATAAAAATAAATAAATATACAACTTTAAATATAAAAATACTATTAAAAAAAATTAGTAAATACGAGTTGCTATTCGAAATGAAGGTCTATTAAAAAATTCTGAAATATCCTATAATTTTCATTTTTTGGTATAAATCTGATAATTAAAAAAAAAATTAGGACATTATTTATCAGTAAAATAAATATAAAGGATAAAGGTTTCTTAATTATTAAAAATTATACATTTCGTATAAATTTTTCAATTTAAAATTTAAAAATAAGAACCCTCTACAAGAACTCTCTACAAGATTTCTATATTAATAGTAATAGTTACAGTAATTGTATAAATTACTTTTTTTAAGAAAGTTAAAGAACGAAATTCTTTACTTTTTAGTGGAATGATATATAGAATAAAGATTTCTAAATTAATAAAATTTATAACGTTTGTAAAATTTTTTAAATTTTATAAGAACCAAAATTTTTTACTTAATTATGGGATTTATAATAAATTAAAAAAATTTTCTGGAAGTTATTTTTTACTCAGGAAGAAATGAATATAAAAAGTAAAGATTTAACTTGTTACATTTTAAAGCATTTTAAAGGGTCAAAAAAAAATTGAATTTTTACTTAGGGGCGGGATCTCTTTAGTTTAATGAGTGGATGTACAGAATAAAAATGTTTAATTATTAAAATCTCAGAGCTTTCGCGTAAGTATATTATCATGTAACAAATTATTAAAACGAAACTTTAGCTAGTAGGCGAAATGTATATATAGAATAGAGATAAAATTTATCAAAATATAAGCTTTTGCATAATTTATTCAAGAGAATACAAAATAAACTACTTATAGGTGGACATTCACAGACAGATTTAGTTTATATATTATAAAACATTGTAAAGAGCTCCTTTCTTCCCGATGTTTAAAAAGTATTAAACATCGATATTCACATTGAATTAAAAATAACTAATTATTAAGCTACAGAACACATTCTTTTTTTTTCCATAAGAAATGTCAAGAAGTGTTTAATATAATTCACAATTCTATTTATATTTAATAATTATAGCCCGCAAAAAAAACTTTACCAAATTCTATAAATTATTAAATATCGTAATTTATAGTTAGCGCGACATGAAAAAATTCAAGAGTCTCTTTAAACATTTCTCTCCCCTCCCCATTTTCCCTTGCAACTTATATAGGAAACTTTTCACAATTCTTTAAAGTTTTTTTATTATAATAATTGCAGTCTACTTTAAGATATGATCTAGATTTAAACTTCTATTGAGTAACTTCCAGCAGTTTTCCAGCAATATGGGCCGCTAATTATTTAAACTTCATAAAAAATCGTTAAGCAAAATTACAAGCACTGACTATACTTGAGAGAACTATTATTTAAAGAATATCATAAAAGTGTAAGGCTGTTTCCATAAAAACCTTACCTCTTCTAAACAGACAACAAGCACTGAAAAAAGTAATGTAACATATATTTAAACGTAAATGCGCATGACTGTTTCAAAGAGTCAGTGGTTCCTATGTTTTGGACAGTTAATAAGAAAATAAAAAATTTTCATTAATGGGAAAGCATTTATTTAATAATAAATCTACACAATAAGGTGTGTGGCTGTTCTTTAAAAAAAATATCCTTTTTGCACAGACAATAAGCAAATTTACTTACACAGAACAAATTTAAAAGCCTTTATTATAAAAATAACGAGGAAGTGCACAGTTGTTTTAAGATATAACTTAGCCCCCTTAACGATCGATAAGCAAATTCACGTACACTGAAAAAATTTAGGAAGTTTTATTAAAATTAAAAAGAAGTGCGCGACCGCTTAATTAAAAAGAGAGAGAGAGAGAAAAGAGTGCGACACTCCTGTTTACTTGCTGGTATAACAATAATTTATTCTTTTCTTTATATCAAAATGTCTATAAATATTTCTTTGTGCGTGAAGATTGGTTAATAATGTCTTCACTATAAAACTTTTGGTGGGTGTTTGCAATTTAAAGCATATTAAATCCTTCGTAGCCACTTCTATAATAATATAGTTTAGTATAATAGTTTTAAAGTAAAAATTAAAAAAAAGGTAGCTCTGCCTTCCTGGGGAGATTTAACTCGAACTTATTTTGTTATATTCCATATACTTTAGAAATTCAGGTTAGTCCTCAACCGTATTCTTTAGTACACTTTTATCACATTTCATTATTATGAATTCTTTGTGGTGTATAAATACAGTCTTAAAACAATAATGCGTACGTAAAGGAGAAGGAGCCATGCTCCGATATGATATGATCCTGTTATAGTACATAGAAGCTTAATTACAAACATGCAATTGAGTAAAATTTGTGCTAATATATATAATTTATTTTTGTTTAAGTATGACCATATGCATTAAACAATTGACTCGATAAAATAATAAACGTATATAGCTGTATTAGCCAAGAAGTCTGATTAAAACAGAATACAAAAACATAATATGCAAAGACAAAACCACAAACACACAAAACATAAGAAACAAATACAAATACAGAAAAAAAACTAAAACCTTGAACTTAAAAAAAAATTTTCAGTTAAAAATGATGAATGAAAGTTAACCAACAACACTTGAAAATTTCAACTAATAATAAATTTATAAAATTTAATGAAAAATAATAAAAAACCAATCATACAACAATTTTACACTAATAAATACATTTTATTTTGTAAAACGGTAGGGAATAAGGTACTTATACATATAACGAACTAACTTTATTCTTTTGTAAAAGGTATATAATTCATATTTTATAATTTACATATTATATATAATAACTTTTTACATAACGTTATTATTCCTCAATAGTATTCATACATTATATTATAATTACTCAATATTATATATATTTATACTCCTTTTGATTTAATATTATGCAATTTTGACAGTCACTTTATTTCTGAATTCCGCTAATAAATAAGCTTTTTTTTAAGAACTCGGCCAATTAACTATTTTCATCTTTTAATACATTTTTTAACTATTAATTCGTGCAAGCCAATCTGTCTCTAAAATTCAACTAATTTTTTTTCTATTGTGTTTTGTTTATAAATAAATATATATATTACTTGTTTAATTATGCGTGACAGTAAATCTACGCAGTGGAGAAGCTAATCTTTTCTGCTTAGTTTCTTGGGTGGATTCTAAATCGGTCTACTAAAAAAGGGTAATTTAAGTTTGTTTAATAAATTTATATTTAATGATTCCTTTGGAAATACACTTTTTTAAAGATTCTCATATAAGACAATACTAATTTGATAAAGATTTTTTATTCCCCCCCCCCCCTTTTTTTTTTGTGCGCGCCTCGGTTTTGTGGGCAGTTCGTTTTGTGGCCTAATTTTGAATTATTACTGTTCTACTCTAAAGGGATAAAACTTTAAAGACAAAGCTTAGAACGAAATAGAGGAATTATAACTCAAATTTAACACTTTTAATTAGGTTAAAGAGCAACAGTTTTCATATAAACAGTTAAAAAAGATATTCATAACACATCCCTCCTTTGTCTTCATTTCTTTACTTATTTTACACTAAACAGTTTTGGACGAAAATTGTACCCTTTTTTCAGTTAAATCATATTAAGTTATATTTATTAAGGGCAACGCTTTTGACGAAAAGAAATATAACTATTAAATAATAACTT